CAATTTCGATCAACAGAAATGAAGTGTGGGTATGTTTCACTTCTGTCAGCGAAGGGAGCTTCTAGACAGAAGGCTAATTTTCTAATCGCTCTCACTATCCAAATTTAGCTCTGTGAACCGGGCGTGGAGCACTCAACAGACAAAACTCACCAATGTACTCTGAGAATGACTTCGGTTCAGGTTGTCAAAAATATCTGTCACCATTACCAACATCAGTCCCTCTCAGGACTACCCTCAGCTTGACGGTAAGACTGCTCGATCAAATGTTACGCCTGGGTCCACACCATTAGCTGTGGGACTTTATTCTACTATCGCGAGACTTGCATAGAACATGCATTTGCTTGAAGACGTCAGATTTCGTGATATGTGGTGTCGTAGTTAGCGCCGTTTTCAAACTTTTGTCACACTCTCGCACAAATGTGATGCAGAGGGTGGTGCATGTGACAAGTTTAGGCTTTCAGTAGTTTAAATTTTTCTTAGAATACTCGTCTGTATGTGTGCAAGGACTTATGACCTATCGTAACTGTGTTCTTCAGTGGTAGCTTAAGCTGTGATGCTTTCCAAAGCCTGATCTACACTAGCAAAAAGGTTATGTGACTTTTGAAACTGCAAATATTTGATTTACCTTACCTATATTTATTCTAAAGTAATTTACAGAGATTATCGCGAGACTCCCTACGTCATTTTCATGAAGACTCAATTTATACAACTGGTATTTATTGGACTCTTCTTTCGGATATCCATGACTGGTTCGTCTGTGGCACCAACGGTTGAAGAGTACTTGATATTACTCTTCTTTTCTGGATTTGTTCTTAGTGAGATTCAACAGTATCGAAGTTCGGCCTCGAAGGTTTATTTCAGGTAAAAGATAGTCGTGCAAGTCTGATAATAGTAGCTTACTGTTATCTCGTGATCATCAGAATCAATCGGGGGTTTTGCGGCTGTTGTCGTCATTACTGTTGTTGGTATTTTTTCTTCCATTTTGCTAAGGAGCGTGCCTTAAAGAAACACGTTAAACAAAACATGTTCGTACATGGTAGTTGTCCAAAAAAGAAAAGTGAGTTTGGCATGACGATGCAAATCTTTCGCACTTTTAAGTTCATGATCATATCATGTTCGACAAAGAAGGCTTCAAAGCACTGATCATTGGGTGTTCTTTTACGTATTAGTTAGTGTGCCAGAGTCACGGAGGCGGTTAACTGCTATATATTGAGATCAATCAAGGTTACTCTCTGTATCATTTAAACAGTACAGTTTTCCAAGGCCACGGAATAGTCAGAGTTGTAAAAAAAGGTTCGAAAGAGCTTTTGAACGTCAGTTACATGTGGCAAGTTTAGATCATTAGAATTCCAGAAGATCCCTCCTAACATACAGATATTCTCATTAGTTTGATGATTTGATTTAATGAAATGACTTCTTTTTTCTGTTTGCATTCTTTTTGTCAGAGACATGTGGAACTTCTTGGATGTAATGATAATGCTCATTTACGCCTTCGTCGTTCTCAGTCGAATAGCAACTATTATCATTGGTGGTGATGCCCATAACAATCGCTTGTTGGAACTCGCTAATTATGGTTATGGAATGGACGCCATGCTTCTTATTCTACGATTTTCCAGCATCCTGGAGCTAAGTTCAGTTATCGGTCCCTTACAATTAGCGCTGTTTCGAATGTGTCTTGACTTAGTAGTCATACTTGTACAGTTTGGTTTTGTCATTGTTGCATTCTCATTGGCCATCACTAAGTGTTACACAGCTGAAACATCCTTCCTGACGCCCTTGAACGGATCAAATATTGCAGAGTAAGCTTTTTTTTTTTGCTCTAATGCTTTGAGTGAATTTCGAAAGAAGAGAAATAAAAAAAGAAATCATTTAAAATAAATCAATACTAATACTGATAGATTTACCACATGGATGGAAAACTAACTTCAGTTGTACTCTAGAAATAACTTAACGACTGACCAATTTAGAGCAATTACAGGTGATATGTCAAGGACTGTTGCTGACTTGCACTGCCACTTCTCCAAACTTTATTTCTGCAGTTCTTTATCAAACGAATTTTACTTAGCCAGCGTTTGTCTGAGGCTCCGAAAATACATGTTTCGGTCTAAAAAAGGAATCCTTTTTTTAGAAAGGGGTATGTACGTGCATAATTATAACAAGCGCTAGTTAGGACCACTTTATCTACGAAAGAAACTGCTTTATCCTGCTAGCTCCGAGGTGCATTACCCGTTGTCTCTGTAAGGTGGGTGGATCGATGGAGTTCTCCCTTCTTCCATTGAAAGGCGAAGCAGTATTTTCCAAATTTTATTGGCTGCTGCAATGCAAATTTTTATTCTTTAAAGGTAATATTCTCTTCAAAAGCAGCTTCTATGCGCCATCTAACTATGATAATCGTAATATTGTTTTTTTTTAATACATTGTTCAAGGTACTGCATTGAAGGCAATTTGAATTGGTAAGTCAAATACATTGATAATTAAATTATCAGTTACCTGGTTTCATTTCATATTGTCTCATTATCATTTCAAAACGCTAAACCAACCTCGCGTATTACTTTCAGCTTCTTGAAGTCTGCAAGACAGCTAGTCTGGTCTGTATTTGGAATGATCCATTTCGAGGAGATGGAATCCCTGACTAGTTTGACGTCAGACATCGTTGTTGCCCTTTACTTAGTTTTCTTGGTTTTGTCAGTTATTATGTTGGTTAATATTTTGGTAGCCTTGTTGACAACCACATATGACAAATACAAGGTAAGATTAATGAATATATGGGTAGTAAGAACTTCTCAATAGCCGAGCAGGTGGGCCTTAATCGGGAATGAGAGCCAATATTCCCCCGTGCGGTTCCAGCAGGCGAAGCCATTGCAAAGAGCTTTTAAAGCGGAAGTTTTGAGAGATTAGTTTATTATATGGCTCTCGGACTAGACTTGATTATTTGAATTTGCCGGCTTTGCAACCCGGCAAAAATACACGCCTTGTGACTGTTTTCGTGGAAATGGCTCATACGGCGAAATACGAACCAAGTAAAACTCAAACAGAGCGATCTGAGTACCTCCGGATGACCTTACCACACAACAAATTTAATTTGTAACATAACCAGAGTAAAGCGCGCGCTCTGATTGGTTAATTCAGTGTCCACCATTTGCCCATTGGTGTACGCTGCTGACGTGAGCAAACGCAAAGAGAAATTTTCGCGCTGTTGTTTTTTCTTGTTACGTGAGCTTTGTTAAATAAAAGGAAACTCTTTTGCTACGATGTATTAATGTTATATTATAAAACAAATGGTTTAAAGAAAAAGCGGACACTATTGAGTTATGGATGCGCTTGGCAGGTTTGTTAAGCATCCAAAAAGCTAGAGTCGCTCTCGGCTATCGCCCTGCGCGTCTCTTACGCTTCTGTCGTGCTTAGCAACCTCCCTCGTGCATCCATAACTCAATAGTGTATGATGTGGTGTTTATCATTTGTTAATTACTTACATAAAATAATAGTAAACATCCTTTCGATATTGCTTGCCTTTTTTTAATACTGTGTTCTGAGAATATCTTGATCGCTTGTCGTTACAAGTCATTCATTTATGCGTTAAACTTTTGATTTTTTTATTACTTTGTTTTTTTCTAATAGACTAACTCAGAAATTGAGTGGAAATTCTCCCGCGCAGTTATTGAGGAACAGTACAGACGCATGCACGTAGTTGTAGTCCCGTTCAACATATTTTCTGAGCCGTTGAAGGCCTTATATTTGGCAAAATATTCGGATCTTCGAGACGAGGTAGTGGAGTTTATGTCCGGAAGAAATTGTTGTATTTAATAAGAAGCATTACAATTATGTATACCACATTAGTTTTGTCTTTGGAAATAGGTGAGCTTTTCACCGATCCCTGCCGAGAATTTAGTTGCTGTTTTTAACAATACGCTGGGTCGTTTAAAAGTGGCGAGTCTCAGCTATAAGAATTAGCGTCTTAACTTTCCATATGTCTACCAAGTAAATGAGATTAACCTCCATGCATTTTCTCCCGGAGTTATAGTCACAGTTAGCGAAAGAACTTGCCTTTGCTACGACAGGAATAACCTCTGAAACGTTACCTTGCATAAATTAGCTTCTCAGACAAAAAGTGGAAATTACCTGACGGATAGAAATTCCTGAATTACTTAGTTGGGCCTAATTTTAGTTTTAAAAGTTACGTATGTTATTGGTTGAGAGGGCTACGAAAGTTTTCCAGAAATCAGACAGCGAAAAGCTGATGCTATCCAAATTTATCAAATATCTCGTCGACACTCGATGAGTGGTTGCACATCTACAAGCAATAAGTTAGTGCTAATCTGCATAAGAATATTTAAGAAATCTTCAAACTTTCTTGAAAGTTCTTGTTTTTATTTCTGTACACTTAGGTAAAGGAGGAACGGAAGAAGAAATACGAGGAGTTCTTCCAAGATTTTTTTTCCCTAAATTAACGGAGCGCTACAGGATAAAATATAAAGGATTATTTCCAAAAACAGGTACATGGTCACTAAGTTCAGACTCAGTATTACCCTTCTAGAAGTTAAATATCCAGCTTATCCCTTCCGCAAAATTGAAGTTTCATTCTTGTTTGGCAGAATGTTTATTCCTTTATTTTCTCTCTTACCTGTATCTGTTGATTTAGTCCACAGAAAACTAGATACACTGGGAGAAAACATTGAGGCCATGAAGATGGAAATGGAGAAGAAAGATCTGGTAAAATATTGTTTACATAAGATCGCGGTCTTATTAACCATCACTTCTTCACGTCCACTTGGTAGTGTGTTAATGTTGCTTTCTTTCCTAAACGCACTGTGTGACCAACAGCGAAATGATTGGCAGAATGATCAGGGACGAAACTCAGTGGAAAGGAGTGCATTGAGAATAGATGTATATCAAAATCAGTTGCAGTGGGAGATGTAAATTTCATCTCTAAGAACCTGTTGCAATGTGATGTAGATGAAGACTCGAATTGTGTTTCTGAATTGAATAGTCCTTGTATAACTAGCCTAATCCCCCTCATATTTACTCTGGATTAAAGCAAATCGTGCTTTGAAAATGTTCAATAATTCGATCTCGATTACAATTTAGGATGTGACGATATGATTCTCTCATACTGACTTCTTCTTATTTATAGAGAATGATCGACCTGGAAGGAAAACTTGAAGTTGTGCTGGCAAAACTCCAATGGATGTCAAAAGGAGATCCGGTAATGACTGTTTGCAAAACGTTCGGTTATACTGTATGCTATCCATTTGCTCGAGACCTTATGATCAATATCCATCTAATTAACGAACTCCTGCGCGCATGGAGAACCTATAATTATGGTAACTTATGAAGAAATAAAATTAATTGTTGCTTGATAGTAATGATAATAATAATAATAATAATTAATAATAATGACAATAATGATGATAATAATAATAACAACTTTATTTAAGGAGGGTAACGCATGACAGTAATTCAACTGATGAACTAGTTGCTCTCGATCCTAAAAGTACCATAATTAGAGTTAAAATGTGTAAAATGTATGTAAAATAAATTCGAGGATTATAAACAGGTCTATAAGAATGCAAGCTAAAAACTATATAAAATAAAATACGCCACATGGATCGAGTTAAAATACAATATGCTGCTTGGGTCGCCTCAGGTTCGCGATTGAAACGAGGGCAGGCCAGATTTAAGTTACTATCGCATTCGGACTAAGTGTTCTACTTTATCATAGCTCGTTAGGAAATGTCTGTCAAGGGCCTTTCTGAAAGAAGCAACTGTTGCCGCCTCTTTTTTTAGGTTAGTAGGTAGCTGGTTCCCCAGCCTTGCCGCAGATACACTGAAGGTACTTCCTCCTTCGGTTTCGCGATTGAAACGAGGGCAGACGAGGTCTAATTTATTACAACGACCAGTTCGTGAGTGTAGGTCCGCATTAAATTTAAGTATATCGTACATATATGTAGGACAGCTTCCTAGTAAACCCTTAAAAATTAAAACGCTCTTATTTAACTTGACTTAGTCGATTGAAGTAAACCATTTGGAGTACAAAATAAAATTAAACCCACTCAAGAATATTTGAATCGCTCCAAAAAGGACCAAAGTTTATTTATAACGCGGTAACGTCTATATACTACAGCTTATCTGGAACAATATTTATCTAGTTTCAAGTTTCAAGTTTATTAGGTCTTGTAAGACAATTACTTACAATGAACACCGCCTGCAAATACCGAGCTAATCTAAAAACATATGAAATATTTTCAAAATTGAAACGTCATATATATAATGCAGGGGCAGGTAAATTAAATTTTTAACCAAAAGTGACTTAAATAAAAAGTAGCAATGATAATAGTAACGTTAATAATAAAAACGAAATAAAGAGAGCCATGCAAATGTTTCCGATGCTGTCGATGCAAAACAGGATTTGACAAATGTCTCGATGATTGTTTTCGCTATAGAAGGAGAACGAAGGAGGATCGAACAAAGAGATATCAATGGTCGCAGACGACGAAGAAGCAAAGACATCATTAGGTAACATTATTTTCTTTTGGTAGAATATTACTGTATTTTTGTTAATGCTGTTGTTTTTGTTTTGCTGTTTTTATGATAACTCACACTACAGCAAAACCATCACTTGTACGAACAGAGGTAATTTACGCATTGGAACATCCTATCTTTCCATTCTGACATTTGAATGTGTATCACATCGGTTGAAGGCAAGGCGGATATAGATGCTGCCATTAAAATTTTTAGAAGAGATATCAGAGCTGTTATTTTGCTCTCTAAACTTTCTCGAAAGATATAATTTTGTTATTTATTCTATCAACAAATTTCTGTCTAGTTAGCAGGAAACTGAGTAACTCAACGGTAGAAGTACAAATACATGCACCACAAGAAGAGGAGGTATTTTTTTCTTTTGTTTTGTTTTTGTTTTTTTGCTTTTATCATTTCTCAGGGTATCCGTTGTTACATAGTACATATCTAGCCATGCCGTTAAACGCTATGTGGGTTAAGAAAATCATTTCAAAGCAGTTGAATGATTTAAATAGGTGAAAAAAAATTTAATTCTTGTAGACAAGTTGAGCCAATTAGCTTTATTATAAAGTTGGCTCAGAGTTAGCACTTGCCCAAGTTATGCGAATGGGTTATTGATCAACAACGGGGATTTCAGATGTACCCTCACCCAAAGTATCAAACCAATCATATGTACCAAATAGTACATCATCATTAGGACATATTTTCGGGGCGAGGCGTGCTGGTATTCATATTCTTTTTTTCTTTGCTTTCAACCCATCAGGCACAGAAAGAAACAAAGGATCAAACCGTCGCAACCCCTCAAATGCAAAACTCCACAGACGACGATGTGTGATTCAATCGATATTTCTCATGACTTAGTTACATGCAATATATGTTCCTTTGAGTCAAGTAAATTTGAATTAATTTGCAAAACGTGTTTGTGAGTAAACTTGATATTAAAAAATAACTGGAATATTATTGGAAATTGTCTGGCCTTAGGAGAAATCTCGCATCGTGATTGCATCGGCCTAACTAAAATTTTCATTTTTAAAAGCTGTGACGGTCCCACAAATTAGTACAGAAATTAGTCCATTTATCCTAGGACTCCTTCGGTCATTGTGCCTCTGAATTTTGGAGTTTTCGAAGGTTCGGGATTTTTCTTATTTTGTTACAAGCAAGTGAGAGTTAATGGTGTATTTAATCGCCCTCGCTCAGCAGATCGTTAGACCGCATGAGACCTACATTATTGATGATGACTGATATTGCCTTGCTGCTTTGATTTTAATTGAAATGGGAAAGAAAGTGCATTTTGATTAGTGTAATTACATACAAACAGTGCTTTTTTACAGATAGTTTTAAATCGAGATAGTGAATCGGGCGTAGAATATCGATAGACCAAAACATTTTGAATTCGTGAACGGTAAACTAGGCTCCCTCACGATTGCATTTCAGCTTTTTATCTCTAATAGAAAAAGACATATACGCTTCAGTGGATCTGTCCGCGGCGTCCAAATTTTAAGTTTTTATACATTATTTCTTAAGAGTACCTGAACATTGGTTGTTAAACTGCTGTAGGTGTGCAAATTACTTAAATAAAGTGTTTTAAAAATGAATTTTTTATCATGATCGTCTAATGCGCAATACAAATTTTTAACTACACTGGCTTTGAAGTGTTTCGAGAATGAAGTCAGTTCTATCCTCAAGCCGCACAACTGCACAACCGCACAACTCTAATTATGTAAATTAGCGCTCATCATGGCTGCTTCAAAATTGCTGCCGATTATCTTGTTCTTTATGGTCTTCTCAAGTTTACTTCATCAGCGAATTCATACTGGAGATGACGATAATACCACCAGTCACCATTCCCGAAGTTCATGTTCGTTGGTGCGAATTTGCTACGTCTTATTTTGTCGATTTGCAGTCGAAAGGGCGGCATCGTTACGCCATTTTAGTTTCACCCGCTTCTGTCAACCGAATTTGAAATCCACCAAACGCGGATTTATATGTCTTAAAATCCCTGGAAAAGATCCAGACTTCAATCTTACAGTCTTCATGGATGTGGAAACGAACCCTGGACGTTCAGAAATCGAGAATTATCGATCCTTACAAACTCTTCATCCGTCCTCGCCGAGATGTTTTTGTTTACATCGACGAGAAACCATCCTCTCATTACGGCGCTATACTACATCCAACCGGTCCCAAAATTTGCTCCTTACATTAAAAAATCTGGATGTTCTCCGGTTTAGGGGAGTCCGAGCTGGCAAACAATCTCCAAACCGAAAGAGGCAAGTCTATCAGAATGTTACCACTACTTCGAATCAACACCCGAGTTCCTTTTACGACAACCTCGCGGTATCGTGGCAGGGATCGCTCTTATATTAGGAGAGTCCCGTACGCAAAGGCCTACGAGGTCCCTTCTATTTTAATTACAAACATTCGCAATCTATCGAACAAGGTTCACGAATTAAATCAAGTCGCCATTCACAACAAAACTGATGTCATTTGTATAACTGAGACTTGGCTTTCACAATTGCTACCAGATTCAGCCGTCTCACTACCAGGATTTCTGTTATTGAGAAATGACAGAAAAAACCAGTCCTGTGGCGGCGTTTGCGTATACATCAAGGAGAATATTCCGTGTAAACGATTGGTGGAAATGGAACAGAAGGAAGTGGAATCTATCTGGGTTCAACTGAGAACGCATTCACTCCCATGAAATATTTCCAACATTTTCCTAGGTGTTGTTTACCACTGAACTGCTAACGGTGAAGCGGAGAATACAACCCTTCGTGACCGTATACAAAGGAATATGGATACGTATCTCTCGAAGCATCCAAACGCGAGGGTTATTTTAACTGGCGATTTCAATCCGACTTCAACCGGCCTGCGCCCCGACTCAACTTCTGGACCTAATCACTTGAAACAACTAGTCAAATTCAACACAAGAGACTCTGGGATACTTGACTGGTTTTATACTAATAGACCTCATACCTTCGATCTTCAGAAGCTACCTAAGCTTGGTTCCTCGGACCACTATACCATCCAAGCGTGCTCAACTGTCAAACATCTATCTCAACACGATTCTATTAAAAAACGGTTTATAGAAGAGAGAACCGCGCGAGCAACTGGAGACAGTTTGGATCCTGGATTACGACTAAGGATTGGGCT